CACTAGGAAAGTGCCCACAATAAATGGAAAATGAAGCTGTAGGGGAGGCGAGGGTGGGCAGTAGGGCTTATGCTATGAAGTGAGTTGGGATGGAGGAGGTGTGAGTGGCTGCAGGGTAGGATATATACAATGGAATGCCACTTAGCCTGGGAAAGAGGCAGATTTTAACTGATGAGACCTGGGGTGAGTGTGGCACGTTGAGCTGAGTGTTAAGAAACCAAGCACAGAACAGTTCTGTATTACCCTACTTCATCCAGTCATAGAGGCAGAGGGGATGGTGGTTAACCAGGGCTCCGGTGAGGCTAACTGAGAATGTTGGTCTAAAGACACAAATTTCACCGAGACAAGCTGAATAAAATCATGGTTCCAGAAGTCTATTGTTTACCTGAAAATTGGTAAGGGATTAGAGTTTAGATGTTATAAGGTAATGATTATATTAATTTAGTTCCATTTTGTCATCTCAGTACTTACACAATTCAGAACATAATATTGTCTATCATAAATACATACAGTTTCCGATAAGTAAAAATAAAGGGCCTACATTGTCACTGCCACTTGCTGGGCACATGCTGTGCTGGGTTTCCCTCTGCAGAGCCTGGCGGTCTTTGGGGAGATGGTGTGATGAAGATAGTGGCTCCTATGATTCCGGGTCAGTCTGCATACTCAGTAGTCAGGGCTTCCTGGTCAGATTCTGTGTGTGTAACAGTGCCTGCGGCATGGATGCACTGACTAGCTCAGAGCTCAGGGCAAATACATGCCTGGCGTAGGTGTCGGATACAGTGGTGGTCTGGAGCAGCCACTTGTCACCAGGTGGATGTGTAGTCCTCTTTCATTTTGGTCTACTGACCAGCCATCCAGGCTGTTGGCTATGCCCTTGTGTGTGTGCCACTTCTGCTTTCATGGCTTGAGGACAGAGCAGTGTGCCAGGTCCCGGACTCTGGTTGGCTGTGTCTCCTGCTCCTGACTGAGGCCTTCTTCACTCTCCTCCTGCCTAATCAGCACTGGTCAGTGTATTTCCTGCGGGGGTTGTCTGCCAGCCTTGGGCTGTGTCCCAGTGGGCATAGGGGAGCAGACACAATTCTGCTTTTCATGGTTTGTGTGTCCCTCAGTTTTTAGCCTCCCTTTTGTTTTTCTGGGAGGGAGTAGGCTACTCGCCACCATCCTCTGGCAACATGGGGGGGAGGGGGAAGTTCAGAAGCTTCTGGGCGTGCACAGGCCACAGTTGGAACATGGACATCTTCTAGGTTGCCTGTCCTGCCAGTCTCATTTTGTATGTATGGACCTTGGAGATGTCACAGAGTAGCACATACCTGGAGGACCTTCTGTAGCTACAGTCTAGGGCTTTATTTGACATTTGGTCCCCAAATATCTCCATGATGACATGATGCCTTAGATCTTAGGTGGTAGCAATGAGCACACACCTGACTAGGCAGCCTTGCCATATCTAGGTGTGTGTTACTCTTTGCCAAGTGATCAGCCACTCAAGCAAATGGCAGCAGGTGCTTCCTTGGTGTGGCCTGGAGTTACAGTGTGTGCTTGTTCTAGGGCTGCGGGCCCTTACCCCTGGGCTGCTGCCTCTACTGTCAGTGGGGTTGAATTTGGAACTGGCCAAGCTGGGCCTGGTTAAAGATGGCCTTCTATCAGTTTCCTTCTGGTTCACCCACTCTTGCTGTTTCCAGTGTATCTGCACACACACACATGTTCATTCATGTTAGACAGCTGGATGCATGTCTGTATGTTCCTGGAGTGCCACCTTAGTGCATCCCCTCAGCTCTCTTCCAGTCCATTATTGCGCTCATGCCTTCTCTGACCCTGGCTGCATCAGTCTACACATGGGCACTCGTGTGGGGCTGGGGCAGGCTTGACTGCCAGAGCTGGAAGCTGCACAGGGCCTGAATAAGCTCTTCTAAGTGGGCGTTCTGGGGTTGTCTGGCGTTTCTGGAAGTGTGCGTGCTGTTTTCTCACCCTTCAACCCGCGGGACAGCTGGTTCCTCCACTACTCACACCCAGAGTTCGACTTTTTTGGGTTGGGCGTTTGGCACCCTGCCGAGTGTGGTGTGTCTCCCTTCAATTTTATTTTTCATTTCTCTAATTACTGAAGGTGTTGTGCATCGTTTCTGGAACATGCTGACCACTTATACATCTTCATTGCTAAAGTGTCTTTTCAGTCTGCCACCCATTTTAAAAAACGTGCTCTTTGTTTTATTAGCAAGTTGACAGGCTCTTTATATAACTTCTGGATACAGCTCATAACGTTTCTTCCTGGTTTTGCTTCTTTTTTAAAGTAGAGCTGGATTTTATTTTGGTGAAGCCCAGATCATAGTGCGTTTCAGTGAGCAGATGTTTTTAATTTTAGTGTTGTTTGTTGTCCATCTTTTCCCTAGTGACCAACATGCTTCTGCTGTATAAGAATGCTGCTGTCCTCTGGCTGTGAGGGTGTTAAACGTGCACCTAGACGGACACTGCTGTCCTGGCTCCTCTTATACCTTCATCTTCAATCATTGTTTGCCCTTGGTGTTTGAGGCCGTTAGGGTAGGGCGAAAGTTGGCCTTTTCATATGGATACAGAAGCGACCCAGCATAATTTGTTGAAAGGCATTTATCCATTCTCATGCAGTGGGATTTTTGTTGACTGTCAAGTGATTGTCTTGGCAAGGGCCCCTTTGTGGAGACTTGTCCTTCTCTGCACCACTTGCCTGTCTGTACTCACAGAAACTGATATTGGACTTGGGAATCATCCCATTCTGCTTTTCTTTCTTACTACTGTTGGGTAACCAGGGCATGCACATTCTCGTGCAGGCTTCTGATTCCCACCCCGTGAGTTCTTCACAATGGGAGTTAGCTTCCCGTCCAGGGACACGGTGTGTCCCACCCCGTGAGTTCTTCACAGTGGGAGTGAGCTTCCCGTCCACGGACATGGTGTGTCCCACCACTTGTTTATGTCTTTTTTTCTGTCAGTGTTAATTTGTTTAAATACACACACGTACATATTTTTAGTTAAGAATTATTTGTTACTAAACTTTTTAATGCCTTTAAAAAGGTTTTTTTATTATTTAATCCTGTGTGTGTTTGACTGTGTGGGTATGTGCACATGAGTGCAGGTGGCTGTGGAGGCTAGAGGTCCAGGTGGTTGTGAGCTGCCTGACAGAGGTGCTGGGACCGGAGCTCAGGTCCCCTGGAAGAGTGCCATGCTGCTCTTCACCTCTGAGCCACCTCTTCAGCCTACTGTGCCCGCTTCCTCTTGTTGCTGATGATCAGCAGGTAGCAAGCCACGTTTCAGGCGCTGTCGAGCTGCTTTGCTCCCAGTAGCATGATGCAGACTCAATTTCTAGCTAGCAACGGCAGTGGGATTTCTTCTTTTCTTGCTCTTCACTTTTTATTTTTTTCCTGCTGCATAGATGAAGTAGCTCTCCTTTTAGCACAATGTTAAGTGGCCTTGGCAGTGCAAAGCTGCCTCTCCTCATCCTCAGAGGCAGCGTCACGCTTCATCCACAACACTTACATTTGCTGTAGGACTTTTCTTTTGTTTCCATCTCTCTCCTCCCCATCCTCTTCCATCTCCTCTCCTCTCTCCCTTCCCTCCCCTTGGAGTAAATTTTCTTCTATTCCTAGTCTTCAGAGTGTTACCAAAGCCAAGACTGAATTGTATTGACTGTTTCTGCAGTTTTGGTGATCATGCATTTCCCCCTTTACCTTGCTAAATGTGATGAGTTAGGGTGCTTAGTGTGGAATCAACCTTTTTTCCCCCTTGTTTGTATTTTTAATGATTTCATCCATCCACTGATTTAAGTGTGTTGGTGCCACACTTATGCCAGGGAGTGCTTCTTGATGTCAGAGGCTACCTTGCAGGAGCTGATTGTTTTCTTCCACTTTGTGGGTTCTGAGGATTGAGCTCAGGTTGTCAGACTTGGAGGCAAGAGCCTTTCCCTTTAAGCTGTCCTGCTGACCCAACCTCATTTTCTTGAGACATTGCTATTTTTTTGTATACACCATCAAGCTTTATTTATTATCATTTTTGTATCTGTATTACTGAGAATGATGCCCCATGATATCTTTCAATTCCTTCTAGATTCTTATTATCAAGCAGGTAGCTCTCCTGTCTCCCACCCTCCTTTCCTTCTCTGTCCTTCCTCTTCCTCTTCTCCCTGTTTTGAGGTAGAATCTCACTATGTAGCACAGCAAATTGTGAAATTTGTAGTCTTCCTCCTCCTACTTTATAAGTGTTGGGGTCATAAGCAGGAACTATGGCACCTGCTATCTTGCCTGTTGTTTCAGTACTTAGATTTGTGATGTAATCAGCTGAATTTAGTGGTTCATTTACTTAATTATTTATTGTGTGTGTGTATGCACAAGGATCTATTGAAGGCCTGGAGAGAAGTCTCAGTGGGAAAAGGCACTGGCTATCAAGCCTGAGACCTGAATTCAATCCCTGGGACACACAGAGTGGAAGGGGAAACTCAATTCCTGCAAAATGTCTTCTCACCTCCACACTGGCTGCTCTCCTCCCACATGCGAGCTTGCCAGGAGGAACACACATAGATTGTATCTTGTAGCATTTCTTAGTGGCCCTGCCCTTTGGACCCAGACACTGACCGTTTCAGACAAACTGAGACAGAACATTTGACTAATGAAGAACATCTCAGTGTTTGACATCTGTTTATGATCTCATGAAGCTGTGAGTATAGTCCCCAAGCATGGGCCTGGCAGTTATGGCAGTGTCCCCATCTTGTTCCTTTCTTAAAACCCACTGTCAAAGAACAGGGTGAAACTTTATTCGAGGAAGTTAAATTCTCTAAAGCAGAATGATGGTTTATAAACCAGGAATGGTGGGCTCCCTGTTGCTGATGTTGACTCTGCCTTGCTCTGTTGGCTGCTCAGGTTGGACTGACTCTGCTGCTTGCACGTTAGTATTTTAGGGAGCAACGTGCCCTGTTTGCAGACATGTGTAAGTGTTGAGTGTATATGGGGCTGAGCCCTGCTGACATTTTTCCTTTTGCTTAGCTTCAGACAGTCGAGTCCAGGCGTGTGCAGCTGTGTGGAGGATGCCCAAGGAATTAGAATCCGGTAGCCACGAGTCCCCCGACGACCCTGCAAGCACTGCGCAGACCCTGGAGTTGCTCTGTCACCTTGACAACGGGGCCCATGGCAACGTAGCCTGGTAGGATGCTACATATTTCATACACGGGAAGAAACCTAGAGGCTGCTCAGGTGCTGTGTGTGTACAGTCTCCTCTACTTCTTCCAGTTTCTCCCACTTTGCTCCCCACTTCCGATACTCTTTCTCTTAGATGTTTGTCCTCGGCTGTCACTTCTAGTCCAGGTGTTTCCTAGGTTACCTATGGTTGCAGAATCCCTCCACCCAGCTGTGGGGAAGAGCACATGTATCACCATTTCCCTTTTCCAAATCACCTGACTGGATAATAGATGAAACATTTAACAATCACCTACCACCTCAGCTTGAAAGCATGCAGGTTACTCTTCCTGTGGGCTCCTAAGGAGGGGAAGGGTGTGCCAGGTGACATCCCCAGGTCCCTCCATGTCTCTGTCCTTTCCTTTGGTTTCTTATCAATACTGTGGCATGTACAGAGATGAAGAACTGTGACTATCACTCGTGGGGCTCCTGGACAGTCTCTGTCTGTGTGGTTAGAAGTTGGCTTTATCTACCCAGGGCCTCCACACAGTGGCCAGTGGCTGATGTGATAGAATTGAGACACCATGGCTTCAGACTTCATGGCATGATGCTGCTATGGCTGTTCCCAGTGAGAATTGTTGCTTTACTTGACATCGTCCACTCCCGTGTCAGTGCCCATGTGCATGTGTGCCTGTGTGTGCATGTGCATGCCTGTAAGGAGGCACGGATGCTCTGCAGTCAGTCAGCTCGCCTGATTAAATCCAATCCAGCAAAGTATATTAGGTAGCTACCCTGCCAGGCTCCAAGGATGATGGGTGAGTGTCAAGAGACCTGGCCTTGAGGAGTCATGGTCCCTAGGGGAGACCTAGAACTTAACAGTCTCCCTCCCATGACAGGAAGGGCTGTATCATACCCTGGACCTGTCATGAATGTGTACTGTTTCTCAACATGAAGCAGCGAGTCCTGTTTGTTAGAGAACCACAGAGGGACTCACCTGGAGGTATCACTTGGAACTGGTCATTGTGGGACCAGTCTGTCACTATCAGCCACAGTCAAGCTGTGTGGGGCTCTGGTGGCTTCAATGCTAGCCCCAGGGAATTGGTTTTCATGGCTGCTCTGTTTCTTCTTGGTCACTGGCCACTTGCTTATCCAGAGGAGCTCTAAGTGTGGATGCCACCCCAGTCTCCCAGGCGAAGGGAAACCAAAGAGTCCTTGAGCTGCAGGAGTGAGCACTTCTGCGCTGTCACTCCACTGCCTAAGTAGAGTCTCGCAGAGTTCATGTCACACAGTGATAGCGTTCCCTGATTACACAGGCCTCGGTGTGTGGCCGTGGGTGCCAGGTATATGCATGCGTTCAGAAGCACAGCAGCAATGGAGGGCAGACCGAGGATCCCATGGCAGGTAAGCCGTGCTTAGAGGATAGTCCTATCCAGACGGTTCCCAGCTTGCCTGAGAATGAGGGGCCTAAAGGTTGCTCCCTTGACTACCAGCATGCTGGTACTCTTGTCACCATCAGAAGGGCATGCCACAGCTGTGTGCACTGTAGGAGATGGGCATCAGCATGCCTGCTCAGGTGCCCTCTGCCTGTGTGCACTCTACAAAGGCTGATCCGTCTGTGTGGCTCATGTTGGTGACTGTCCTCAGATTCAACTGGAGTGCTCTTGGTTGTGACCTTGCTATTATTGTTCAGAGTATCTCAGCTTCTTAGTGTTCCAGTGTGTTGTGCATTTTTTTTCATGTTTGCTTGTTTTGAGTCCTACTTTAAAGTAATTATAGATCCACCAGCTGTTGTAGGAATGTCCTGGGAACTCTGTATACCCTTCTTTCTTGGATTCCTATGGAATCTGCATGATTTGTAGAACACTTGTGACTGTACTATCCCTGGGGGTTTCACAACAAGGCTGTCACTATGTGTGGGAGTTCCATTCCCAGTACCCCATCATTGGAAGCAAACTCTTTGAATGGAAATGCGATTTTAGAGTTACTGAAAGTTACGTGGCAGGACTTTGACATGGAAGCATGGTACTTACTTGAAAAACAGTGACTTTTATAGTAAGGCAATGAGGGCTGATAATGTCCCTAAGCCCCCACTTTCTCTGCACTGGGACAGGCTCCATGCTGAGCTTAATGGAGTTGTCAGGTGACCAGTAACTGTTGCTAGTAACTTTCTGGCTCTACCTCCGCTCCTGAGAGGTCCTGTGCTCCACTCTCCTCATGACATGGCATCGTCACTTCTATACTGTCTTCTTCCCAGCAACCAATTCCAGCCAGTGTTCTCTGCCCCTGCTTACACTCATGTTCTTCTCATGCTCTGTGCTTAGCCAGGGATAAGGCTGTGTCTTCAGCACCATGGACAGCACTGGACTCAGCGGCAGGGTATGAATCATTGCAAGTGTCTGAAACAGCCAGTGAGTCACTGTCCTTTCTCCACCGATCCCGTGAGAGGCCCTGCCAGTGTTCTGCAGCCTGGGAAGTGAAGCATAGTGCAGAGGTCTGCTGACTTCTTCGAGGACTGCTGGATTTGTGGCAGAAGCCTGTTTGCCTCCCAGCCACGTGAACATCAGCATCTGTCATCACCTGGGGTCTGGCTGTTGTTTCAGGTGTTGGGAATTTTAACCTCATCAGAATAGACTTCCAATGCACTCACATCCTCCAGTGGAAAGCAGATACAACACGATAGGCTTTAGGGGAGGCCCCACTACCTTTTCTAGAATGTTTCTTGTCCCCATTAAGATTCATAGGTGGCTTGCTGTTGCCCTGGAGGAGGCAGAGAACCATTTTGACCATTTTTAGTGTGTCACACACTGAAATATCAGACTGTGTGCAGCTGCATTCGGATAGCAGGGATCTACATAGTATAATGAGCAGAATTCTACCTTGTCACTAGTGTGGGAATGGAGACCAGAAGAGGTGACCAGCAGCATCACATTTCTGAGTCCATTATACACTTTTACCCTTTAAGAGTAGACGAGGAATATCTACTTACTTATTATTCATGATTTAGTGTGTTGAGTATTTTGCCTCCACTTATGTCTTTGTACCACATGTGTGCCTGGTGTCCACAGGAAGAGGGCAGAAGAGGACTCACAGGAACTGGAGTTGCAGATGGTGTGAGCCACTGTGCGGTTCTAAGAATAGAGTTTGAGTCATCTGCAGGAGCAGCCAGTGCTCTTACACACTGAACCATCTCCTCAGTTTAAGGATGATCACTCTGAAATTCTGCCTTGTATGTTCCATGTAGTTCTCCTTCAGTTGGTGAATAGACTGATGCTTATGTGATATTTTAGTGTGGAGTGGATGCATTAACTCTGGACCACCATGCTTGAATGCTTCTAGCATTGGGTATCTGCCCACCTGGTGTACCCCATCATCTTTAGGGATCCCAATAAAGGGGCGGTTTTCTGGATCTCAGCTTGTGAGAAAGGACAGAGGTGATGACTTTCCAAGAGTCGTATAATGCAGCAGCATCACCATGAGTTTGTGATTGGCCACACCAGGGTCATTCTGCCCCTCTCATCTCCTTTAGATGATCAAGAGGCCTCCAGCCACTTGGTAGTGAGCACTTTGGCCAACAGCTGAAATGCCAGAACAATATAAAACTCACCATGTCATGTTGTGTGCACCCCTTGGAGTAGTCCTGTAAAGCACTCCCTTGAGTGATGAAGATCTCCTTCATAGGAGATTGCTTTATTAGCTATCAGAAGCTTTGGAGATGTGTAGGATAAGTGTAGCCCACTGTGGCATCTTCTCAATTCTTGCATCCAGGATCTGAATCATGTAGGTATCAGTATTAAGCGTGCAACTCCATGCAAGCTTTTTTTTCTGGTAGCATTCTGAGTGACTGGCATTGCACAGCTAACTGACCCCTGCTTCCTGAGCCAGCTGCTGAAGAAGAAGCACCCTCCCATACAGATAGAGTAAATATCACACTGAAATGCCAGCCAGGCTGAGCATGCAGGACACCTGGGAGGACTGGTGTGCATAGCAAGATGGTGATTAGGAAGTAAAGGGCAGGAGTGGTGTTGAGAGAAGAGGGAGGGGATCCAGAGTGTTTGTCAGGCGTAGAAGACCTGGCCCTGCATCTCTTTCCTTCTCTTCTTTTGGTTTATGTGAGGAACAGTGGGCATTGGCATAGGGTGAATATTGTGAGGAGTGAGTTGACAGTTGTCCTAAGTCCTGCACAGCTGCTTGAGGGAAGGGAGCGCACCTGAGGCTTTCAGAGGTTAGTCAGTGATCACTGCAGGCAATTGATAGATTGACCACGTTGTTAGAAGAGTCACCCCAGTGTCACTGCAGTTCATAAGCAGATGCTCATGAGCTGATTCCCAACTACTTACCAATATCACACTTGTCCTTTAGAGCGCTGTGCGCCTTGTGCAGGAAAAGTACAGCTCTACAATGCCAGAGGGCAGTCTGAAATCCATTGGTGTTTCCTCAGTAACCACTGTCAAAGGAGTGTGTCATTGTCCTTGCCCCAGATGAGTGTTAGAAAAGTTAGATATTAAAATGCAGTGTACAGACAGTTTTTCCCGGGAAGAGTCACAGTACAGAAGTCTGAAATACAGTGTAGAAAGTATAGGTCATTGTTCACATCAAAGAGAGATTCATATTCTCCCCAAACTTTAGTTCTTGTTTTCATTATATATGTAAAGTGTTTTAAGAGTATGTTTTTATTGGTTGTTTTCTGAACTGAGTGTGAACATTGGAGGAAACAGAGAGTATACATTGTGCTCTGTGGAGAGGAGGAAGCTAGTCCATTCCGGCTGTTGCCACCAAGTGCTGCAGGCTGGGCAGCTTGTAAATGGCAGAATTTCGTCTGTCAGTCTTGTTATCTAGAAATCCAAGCATCTGTCTCCTGCAGACCTGGTGTCTGGTGAAGTCCCTCTGTCCAGCTCACCCGTGACTCTTGCCACTGTGTCTTCCTGTATACACAGGAAGATGAGCTCCTATGGCCGTGTTGCCTTTGATGCGGACGCCAATGGTTTTGAAGTTCTGTTATTGAAACTTGAGAATTTTAACCCTAAAGGTATGGTGATCCTGTGTGTAGGATATTTCCCTGTAGCTGGCACTCCTGACACTGAGGAGGTGAGAGATGAGAAGACAGAAGCGCTCACCTGGATGATCAGGGGGCATCCCAATGTCAGTTTGTTCTTTATCTCAAAATTACTATAATTTAAAAGCTACCTTTGAACTTGCTGAGACCTGGGAACAAGCATCTTTGGAGTTGTGTAGTGTGTCCTTAGAAGGCAGGAGAGCATCCCCTGGGCTTGCTGTGTTCTCTCTGGATCTTAGGTAGACTCCTGCAAGGGGAGTGTTGGGCATCCGTGGCCTCATAAAGATGCAGGGACTCTCAGGGCAGGCTCCAGGGCTGGTGTAGATTTTGAATTCCCTATATTAAGATGACCCAAGCCAGCTCTGCTCGTTCAGCCCTCAGGTAGCTGAAGAACAGGCTGTAGCACAGAGCCCTCATGCTCTGTCCACCCCTCAGCCTTCCTCCACCCCAGGCAGCAGTGCACCTGGGGGTTGGTGTGGAGAGTTTGTATGCCCACACTCAGTGTACAGCTCCCCTTTGCTCTCGCATGGTTGATGGGAGAGGGTTTCCCTGCTACACTCAGTCTCCGGTCATCTTTGGCTGGTAGAAGGCGTTTCTCTCTTGAGCTGGGTGTTTATGCTGTGGAGTTTTACTTGAGCTGTTAACTGGATGTTACACTCCAGAAGGGAAGAAAATGTCTGACAAAACCACCTTCCCCTCACCTCCAGGCTGTGTTTGCCCTTGGCTTTCTGTCTGCCTACAAGTGGATTTTTTTTGGTTGATGGAGCCATAAGTTTGTCCCAGTGAGATGTCAGAATAAACAGACTTTTAATAACCAAGTCACCTGGTGTCAAAAGTTACATGCTCACCTGTCAGAGAGTTCCCAGGCAGCATATCAACACAACTCTGTCACTGGAAGTGTTCCTCATGTCACAGCATAAAGGCCCTGCACCTCTGCAGACAGATCAAAAGGGCTTGTTGACTTTCTCACGTGGCTCCCGAAACTGCTTTTTCAGTCTTTATAGCACTTGTGTGAGGTTTATTAACCAGGTCTGTGTGCTGTGGGAACACTGTTCTGTGATCCAAGGAAAGAGTTTATTACATTGAATTTATTATGAAATATTATTTTTAAAAGAGTTGTCTTGCATAGACACATTTTTTGCCTTTCCCTACTCAGTAACATGTGGAAAACCTGGCAGCTGTGGCTACCACTTCTCCTGCAGTGGGACCTGCATGGATTATTCTACCCCTTTAGCTGCGCTGCCCTCCACTTCTCCCGCAGTGGGACCTGCATGGACTATTTCATCCCCTTGTTAGCTGTGCAACCCTTCCACTTCTCTTTCTTGACAATCAAGGGAAGCGAGGAGGGGCATGCATGGTGATTGCAGATTTCAGTTGTGTTGGGGTTGCTTTGAGAGTTTCCTGGTGGCCGTGGCACTGTCCCTTCCCTAGGTGCTAATGGAGAACCATTAGTTTGGGGTTCACATGCTTAAAAGAAAGTGTCTTGTAGGAGGCAGGCTGCTTGTTTGTCCTGGCCACCTGGCTAGCTCAGTCGGTAGAACATGAGACTCTCAATCTCAGGGTGATGGGTTCGAGTCCCACGTTGGGCACCAGATGAAGAAGGATGCTTGAAAGAAATCCCACACTAACTCAGAATAACTTGAGAATAATAGAGGTTATTTATTTAGGGGTAGACTCACAAATCAATATCCTCTGCTGGAACAGAGGACAGCAAAGAGGCTGGACACGTGTTTTATATTGGCATAAATAGTATAAGAGGCCACGCCCAAGTGGGCAGGTAACTTAAAGGCTACTGGCGGTAGGAATTCCTACAACAGTGTCTTTTTTGTTTGAACATGAAACCTGATGAATTAGAGCCATCATCCTGCTCCTGTGGCCCTTGTTGATGTTTTCAAAGGACCTCAGCTGTAATGTTATTGGGTTCATGCGCAGTCAACCCTGTTTGTGCTTTTTGCACCATGGTTCTATAGGGGCAGAGCACACTCCTGCTGGCCGTGCTGTATTGAATTCTTGACTTTTTAATATTGTTTATGTCCTCGTTCCTTGGTAGAATGTGATAACAAGTGGGTGATTTTTATGAACAGAAAATAATAAAACTTCTTTTGGAGTGGAAAGGATGGCAGGAACCATAGGCTGTTTCCCTATTTATAGTACTGTTTCATGGTGATGATACACAAGAAGACGGAATTTTCATTTTTATTGTCTTTTGTGGACTACAGCAGTCATAAACAGTGATGACCTGAGGGAGGTTACCTATAAAACAGCAACAGAGGCAATGGCTATGGGTAAAGATCATTGGTGGTGCAGCTATGTAGAGGCTCTGATAGCCTTGCCCAAGGTTGCAGCTCCATGCTGCCTGCAAGGAGCTAAAATCCATTCTGCCTGTGTCTTTTGTGAGTGCATGCCATAGTGTAAAAGACAACTGGAAAGTAAGAGTTCGGGCTCATCAACAGGGGTGTGTCTGGAAGGGCCCACTCTGGGCTCATGCAGTCACTGGGGATCATGGAGGAACCACTCCTCACTTACACATCCTCCCAGTGAAGTCCCATGCAGTGACCACAGCAGAAGGAAAGCTTGTGGGAGCAGAGTGTCTTCTCCATGAGGTGTCTGCCTTCTGCATGTGAATTGTAGGAATCAAGGTTTTCTGAAGGAAGGGACTCAGGGTTTCGGTTTGTACTTGGAACATGTCTTGTCTGTAGACAGAAGTTTCTGTCCCTCCTGGTTCCACAGCCATTCAGTCCCAAAGAAACACATAGAGGCTTATAGTAATTATAAACTGTTTGGCCTATTAGCTCAGGCTTACTATTAATTAGCTCTTACAACTTAAATTAACTCATAATTCTTGTCTGTGTTTAGCCATGTGGCTTGGTACCTTTTATCAGTAAAGCATTCTCATCTTCCTTTCTCTGCGTCTGGCTGGTGACTGACTCTGCCTTTTCTCTTCCCAGAATTCTCCTAGTCTGGTTGCCCTGCCTATACTTGTCTGATGGCAGCTTTCCTTTGTTTACATTCTATGTGTCACCTGTGTGGTGCTGTGTTTGCTTTGCCTATAGATTCTAATGGTGAGCTGGCAAAAGTTCTTACAATGTTGAAGTCTCTCACAGTGATGACAGGGTTTTCTGGGAGTCTACTGTCAGAGATTCCAAGAAGCCCGACTTCAAAATGGCTTAGTTTTTAGGGGCTGGGGCTGTGATAGTGGCAACAGGAAGCTGCTCTATCCTTGGCTTGGATGAGGTGGATCTTGTGTATAGTCGCTGGTGGTTTTCATGTCATTTCTTCTTACAACATCCCTGATCTCTCCTCCCTGGTCTTTAAGCCTACTTTGGACTTGTTCTAGAAGGAAACATCTAGGAACTTCCTTAATCTTGCTGGTTGGTTGCTTCCTCCAACTCTCATTTAAAAGATTAACTAGTGAGCCAATAGTGCCACAGTCAGTATAACCCTGGGGCACCTGGGACCATGGGTTGGCACCTATATGACTTAGGGTGGATGACTACCCTCTAGAGATCTTAAGCCAAGTGCTGTGAAGGTCACTCTGTTCCAGACTCCAGATGCACAGGAGAGCAGAACATAGCTAAGTGTCTGTACATTTCAGAGCCGAGAGCTAAGTGTCTGGACTCTGCTGGTTACTTTCCCTTAGAATCAGTCTCTATGGTGTGTTTCTATAAATGGAGTTGTAGTAACTGGCAAAAATATCTGACGGCAGAAACCTAGGGAAGGAAGGGTTTGTTTTGGCTCTTCATCTGAGAGTGTGGTCAGGGAAGGCATGACAAGAACAGTTTGCAGCTGTGGTGTCAGGAATGTGGGTCAGGAATGCTGGTGCTCCCTCCCTTTCTCTTTTCTGGTTAGTCCAGGACCCCAGTCCCTGAGTTGATGGTTGCCATGGCCGTGGTGATTCCTCCTCAGCTAACACTCTGGGTAGAAATGGCTGGAACACTGACAGTGTCTTAAGTGTCACTTGGCCCTGATTACAAGGCACACCTGCCTCTGCTGGGCTTTAACATAAGGTTCCTGGTGAGCAGGTGGTGTTGAGACTCCAGCCTTCCTGTAGTGCACAGGAGGCAGCCGTGGGTCATGGTTAGGAGAGGTGCTCTTCATCTCAAGCCCTGTACATTGAGGCGAAACCCTAGTACTGTCAACATTTAGTTCTCGTTCTGATGGGTAAGGAGTGATTGCCTGGAGGAAGAATTCATGTTACTTTTCTGTCAGTTTCCTTATCTTGCTATGATCCACACCCTAAAACTCTGCAGTCATCAGGAAACTTGTTCAACTTTGCCATGTCTGGAGCTGACACAACCAGTCGGCTTTGAGCCCTACCTGAGGACATCAGTTGAGGGACCCCAAGGGTCCCGGTGGTGGGCTCTGAACAGGAAAGTCAGATAGTTGTAAGGTGAGAACCTAAGAGCTCAGTCCATTGCAGCTACCTTTGAGGTTCCAGAAAGGCACAGTGTTCCTTGGTTGTTGGTGCATGTGAGTTTTCAAAGGATGCCTCTGGTGACCAAGAGTTGCTGCTGCTACCATCAGCACAGGAAGAAAGAGCCAAAGCTGAAGCACTGAGCTGATGCCATGTGTAATCCCTTGTTCAATTCCCTGACTCTGTATAGGGAAGAGAACACATGTCGGCCAGGTACCGTACCACTGAGCCAGATCCCAGCCTTGCTCAAGCAGGCCTTGAACTCATGGCCCTCCTGCCTTAGCTTCCCAAGAGGCTGCAGTTAAAGGCTTCTGGCATCAGTAGTAGGTACATGGTCACCAACCAGGCAAAATAATGTGTGTATTTTAAAGGCATTGTCTCACAGGGTAGCTCTGGCTGACCTGAACTAACTCTGGAGCACAGGCTGACCAGCAGCTCACCACTATGCAGACTAGGCTGACCTACTGACCTAGAGCCTACTGTATAGCCCAGGCTGGCCTAAAACTCACCACGATCTTCCTGCCCTTTGCCTCCTGAGTGCTGGGTTAAAGGTGTGCACCACCATGCTGATGTATTCCTCTGTTCTCAGTGTACTCTTTCAGGGGAATTTTTTTTTCTTGCAGGTTTGCATCTCAGCCTTTAACTTGCTAATGGAAATCATTTGTGACTTTCATAAAAAAAAAATGATGTCATTGAAATTCCTCACTCAGTGTTTTGGGAAAAGAAAGCTTTTTTTCCCCTATGAGTATTTTCCACCTGTGGCCTGCTAAATCCCATGACCTGCACTCTCTCCTCCAACACATGACTTTTGACTAGAGACGTGTGGGTCTTCACCCAGGGGAGGTGGCCTTTTGTCCTTTTGTTGGAAGTGAGGGTGCTGTGAGTCAAGGGCAGGGTGCGAGAAGAGGCTTTCGTGGCATCCGGGAGCTGTGGGGCTGTGAATGCAGATGCTCATCAGACAGGGTTGGAGACTGTGCTTGTAGTTAGAATCTGAGGACATGGGATGAACAGGGTGGGCATTCTGTCTCTCCCACGTCAGGGTGCCGGCCAACCTTCCTTGGGCTGTCTTGGTGAAAGCCTGGGCCATTTTGATTTCCTCTGAACTCCTAGGTGGGTATTCTGTGGTCTAATCAGAAGAGTATCGGTGTGGCCGGACACCAAGACCGTGGTGTGCTCTCTCCTCCCAGTGGTTGTCCTGAGTGGAACAGGAAGTGTTGCCACCATTCTGAGGGCTCCATGCCTGTTTTAAAGATAGCAACAAGGTCAGTGATGAGGAGGGTGCCCACATGTTTGGGACAGAGTGGCAGCATGAAGGGACATTAAGTGGGTGACTTTGGGTATTTTTACTTTGGGTATTCATGCTGAGTCACATGAGCCAATGAAGAGCCCTGTGGTCCTGCTAATCTCTTTGCTCTGGCAATGATGCAGCCAGCATTTGCCTCCCACTCACTGGGGCCCTCCCGTAAATAAAGTTTTATTACATTGTGCCTGCCAAAGTTTGGCCTGCATCTCCTGTAAGTGCTTTTATACATCAGGGAGAGCTCTGCTGGTCCAGAAGCCACACTGCTCATGGTGTTGTTCACCATCCAGCCCTCATGGGGGAGGCTTGATGACACCAGCTCAGGCTATTTGATGCAGTGACTCCTGACTTTGAGGTTTTCTAATTTTTGCTGAACAAACTGTGGATTTTACTTAATGTCGTGAGTATTGTTACAGTTTATTTTCCAGTCGAATAGATTTGATTGTGTTCTAAAAGAAAGACTAGTGATTCTCTGGTCCTGTAATTCTTCACCCCCTCAGGCCTCTGCTCACTGAGAATTTATCCCAGTGAAACACTGATAAAGAATGAGTCCTCACACGTCAGCAAGTGCTTCTGTGAAGGCTGCCTTTTAGAGATGGGTCATAAAGAACAAGGTCACAGGACAACTGCAAGCAGCCCCTCATGCTTTTCAGGATGTACAGACACCTCATTGTCAAGGAAATGCAAATCAAAGCAACAAATAAACCTTTAGGGGAATTGGGAGTTCTTAACACAGTGGCCAGGGTCACGTTTATGACCAAAAATGGAAATACACCGTTGTGGGAAGAGCTGCAGCCACATTTGTCAAACTGGACATTGCAGTCCCAAGAACTGGCCTTCAGCATGTGCTAAAAAGTTTATCTTCCAGATACCTA